CAACAAGACCGGTTTATCAGTAGTAGTTTATCTTATCTCTTCACTGCTGAAATTGCTTTAGCAGCAAAATAACCTTAAATCACCTGAAAAGCAAAGCAAAGATTGCTAAATGAGTACTGCCACTTTGAGAGTATCTATTAAGCAATTACAATTACCCTTTGAGGAGAGCCAGGCTCAGCCCTCATTCTGAAGTTCATCAGCATTCAGCTCATCTACCCAGTGTACACTGGGGCTCTAGTTCACACCCCGATCTCCAACCACCCTCCCCCACACTCACACAGATAGAACCAGCTTTGATTTCCCACCACGACAGCACACAAATTTGACTGTAAATCAAACTTGCACTACTGTATAAATTAATCAGTAAAGTATTCAAAGTATAATGTATTACTGTTACTAGGTGAACTTGCCTACCCCTGATCTAGGCTATTTAAACTTTTCATTTCATTCAGTTTCCCATCTTCAGTTGTTAAAGATGTATAACCGGAGAAATATTCAGAATAAGATATACAACAATCATTACATAAAAGGTTATGTTTTCAAAAAATACTCACGTATAGTGTCGGGATTGGAAAATGAGAAAAGTACAATAGATGTCAGCTGCGCGTCTCGTCCAGCGTTCTTGAGTCTAGTGCGAGTGAGCAGCCTGGAGTTGTAGGATAAAGGCTGCTCACAGTCTCCACCAAGTGGCTTTGATTAATATTAGCGCAGCGGGCCACTGTCCACTTGGGGGCCTCAGTGAACTGCTTAGACATCAACAAAATATCTTTGAAACTCCATCACCGTTATGTTTAACAAACAAAATTAACTTTTTTTTTCTTTTTTGTCCCTTAAAAATGTGTCAGGTGATCCATAAGCGAATATATATTGTCAGACCCAATTTAAGATTTAAATAATTTCAGTGAAAGTGTAAAAGAAAAAAAATCTGTAGGTTAACAACATTTAAGAACCATTACCATTTGGTTTACTTTACCTCCAACTAGACAGCATATGAAATGCTTATGAAGTGGCTTTTTTTAGAATGTATTTTTCTTGCACATAGGAAGATACATCCTGAGCATCTTAACCACAGGGGGGGTTTTAACTGGTTATTGTTCACACTTTAGTCTCATAGGTCTCTTCTAGAATAGATAGTTCACAACTGCAGACTGTATGGATGCTGCATGTTTGTGGACTCTCATAGCAAAGAAAATAGGCCTAATACAAACACAAAAGCCAACTCAATATCTTTCAGTCTCAACCAAGAATTTGTCCACGACACTACCTAATTAACTGGCTTCACACTCTTAAGTCGTCTATGAGAAAACTTACATTCATTTAAAGAATGCCATGTGCCAAAGTGGATACATGCAGAAGCATAAATGACAGCATGTGGGGGGGGAAAGAAAAGTGAAAGCTTCAACAGAGGGGAAACCCAATTACTTGAGCTAGAAGCATGCATTAGAACAGTTGAGCTGGACCAATAGCTACCTAACAAATATGCTCCCCACTCACACCTGTCATCAACAATCAATAATGAAAGTGAAAGACGCATTCACTTAAGAAACGCCATCCGCTGCAGCTGAAATGTGGATGCAATCTTTTTAGATACTAAATAAATGACAGCATGTAGAAGAAAACTAAAAACCCAGACACCCACAGTTACTTGGGCCAGAAACAAGCAGGACAGTTAAGCTGCAAATACATGTACATTTAGGCTATTAAATTACCATATATGACATTTATCGTCATATTAAGTAAAACCTATTAGAAATTATGGAAAATATTCATATATTAACATATAGCTATCTCATACAAATATATGCTTGTGTACTACGTGTAATACAATTTTGGACATATATGTCATGCACACGTATATCCATCCTAAAACTTCTCAATAAGTAAGTAAATATATGAAAAAGGCACACATTTTAAAAAGTAGAACAAAAACATAAATAAACACAGATTTTTGTATAAATGTTGTTTTAATAAAATTGCATAGCCTATATAAAATATATATTGTTGACATGCTACAACATATAAAATCTTCATATACATATTATTAACATGTTATATATTATTATGGGGATTTTACACGTTATAAGCTTATATTTTCATCTACCCAGAGGATGTATGAGCAAACTATATAGGCTATTGCCTAGTACGTAATTTTGGCAATATATTCATGTTAATATGATATAGGGCAATATATCTTACAGATCCGTATGTGCTTCAACATTTCCTGTCCAATGAACAAACCTTTTGTCAATGAGAAAGTGAAAGCAGCATTTGCTCTGAGAAATATCATCTGCTAAAATGCTGTGGGTACAAATTTGTTGCATGTAAAGATAACAGCATGTGCATAAAACAAAAGTGCAAGTCCTAACAAGGGGAAGCCCACAGTTATTTGAGCCAAAAGTAAGCAGTGTAAGCTGTGCCAGTACATACCTAACAAACCTGCGCCTCACTCCAAGTCATCTGAATATTGAAAGAGAAAGCACCATTCACTTTGAGAATTGATCGGTTTTTTTTTTCAATGGAATTATATAGCCAAGGATATATACAGTAATACAACACGTTCTGTGATAGTTCAGTGGCCTCAGGGAATATGTTTGTGAAAATACATATTAGACCTCATCTGATTTTAAAACTTTCAAACTGCTTTTGGGCACAGCTCACAACACCTTTAGCTACAGATCAGAATCAGAGCTCCTGTAGAAATCAGTCAATGATTCAAGAATACTTTTTCCATTTGAAAAACTTTATAGATTTATTAAGCACATTCACTGTTTCTCTACAAAAAGTAGATACATACCTGTCATACATGAGCGTTTGAACAAACATTCTAAAAACTAACATTGCAATCATCTATCTCAAAAACAAATAGAAACAAAGTTGCAACTTTACAGATGTTTAAGAAGTGTTACACATTCCTGAATCATTCAAATATTTACAAAGCAAAAAGATACTGAGTCTAGTGTACATATAATCATAAACTGTGCTTTGACTTCACAATGAAATCATGGTCCATTGTTTTGCTAATAAACTATTACTAAACTCAAGAGACATGTACAGTATAAATAAACAAACAGCAGTTTGGTTTTGAAGTACAGCAGTTAATATAGAATTATGAAATGGGTTCATCACACCTTCTCTGTCTGAAATACTGTCTAACTTGCCCATCCCAAAGCACATACTCATATGATCCTCTGATTTCCCTTTGAAATAAAGCCATGTGTGTTTCACTGGAAGCAGTATCTGAGATCTCTGGAAGGGCAGTGCGACAGTCCACATCTCAAATGACAGTTCAGTGATGGAAGCATATACTGTTAGGAATAACACCTGCTAGTTATAAAATAATCATTTTATACTATTATTCACAATCAACTTTTGCTAATGTTGGGCCAGATGTTGGTAGTATGATAAAAGAAATGCAACATTCGCTTATGGCTACAACATAGTGACAATAAAAGGTGAATAAACATGCTAACAATTTTTAATAAACACTTTGTGGAAGTTGAACGGAAGTATTAGTCACTGATTATATCTTTTACTGATATAATCTGACATTTTAGATTTATAAAAGTGCTACATTTTAGCGCTACTGTCGATCTGCATTGTTGAATTCGTGCAACGATCACTAAAGGCATAAAGCATATCGTACTACAATCACTTCTAAAATTTACAATTCTTGTGCATAATGGTAGTTGTTAAAAGAATAGTTCACCCAAAACAGAAAATTCTCTGAAGTTCACTGTCAATGACGAGACACAAAGAAAACACCATATGAACTCAGTTGTATGAACTACTTTTATGATACTCCTTTTTTGTTCCACAGAAGTTTTGAAAACAAAAATAAAAATCAATGTTGTTGCACTTGCACTTTTGGGCAAACTGTCCCTTTAATACATACAGATAAATTTGCAAGAGTAAAACCATTATTAACATGCGGCTTGAATGTCATGAAAACATGGAGATCAGAACATGGAAAAATCACCTGAATCCTCAAAAGATTTTTCAACTGACTTATTCTCTGTAATCTTTTAATCTGTCATAAAGGGGAGTTGTACCAAGTTTGTAATTACATCATTTACTTTAGTAACTGTTGTGCAAATGTCCATAGGTATGTAAAGCATTAAAAATTTACATCTGAATTGGTAGGTGTAGAATTTCTTTGTTTGAAGCGACACAGAGCTGCATTTGACAGTAATACATTTCCAACTACAAAGTTAATAAGGTACTTTCTGAAATACACACGTTAAATACCATTTAATACTACATCCATTATTCTCACCATATCACAAAATGTACTGTTGGGAACCTAAAGGCTCAAAAGGAATGTATTTGTTTATCACTTTGGAATTTTGACTGCAATTTACCTGATTTACAGAGGTAATAATATGAATGAAATAAATCTATTAGAAATGTTAGTAACTACAAGTAAATGTAACAACTGTATTTCTGTAATATCAGATTCAAATTTGTATTTATTAATTTTGAATGTATGCTATTTCTTGTTTTACCTTTTGTCCTGTATTATTTGTTGTATGTTGTGTCATGCTATGCCTATTTTGCCCGATGAATAAAACCAGCACCATTATAAAATTACATTCTTGCCATAGAATAACACACCAAATAGAGGAAGTTCACTAAACTCTTACTTAATATGACATGAATTGCAGGCATCTTTGCAAACTAATCTGACACATTTGGGATTCTCTGACATTTATAAATGAGCCATAAATTTACCCTCCATACAATAAATTCTCAGAAAATGCTTTTACAAAAAAGTGAGCTGTCAAATAATTATACCCACTGTAGTGAACTTAATGTAACAAAAACAATATTAATGATCTGTGGCCCTCTGTATCTAATGAGAGTAAATACCGAGTTATTGTACTTGCATAAAATGGAAATTGCCCACAAAAAGAGGTTGATTTTCAGTCAAGTGTAAATTCATTTGGTCCAGGCAGTGGTGCTACTGTATCCAATCTACTCATCTAACAAATAGCTGGCCTCCCTCAGACCTTTTTGGAGCGCCGGCCAAGGTGGTGATAGTAACTCAACGTGACGAAGAGGAAGAAGGTTTCACTAAGAAGAAGAACGATTGCACCGTTGGACAGTGTGCCCATCTCCAAGAGGGTGATGGATGTCACTGGGGGAGAAAAGAAAAAAAAAGTATAAAGACTAATTTGTAAAGTCAGACAAAGTAGTAGTCTGAAGCATATATAGACATTTAGCAAAAGACAGCATAGCTACAAGACAGCATAGCCATGCAGCATAGCTACAACACTCAATTTACAAACCTACTTAAAGGCACAATATGTAAGATTTCTTATTAAAATATCCAAAAACCACTAAAACAGTGTTATATACTTTGCTGACTTGTGTACTTACATTATCCCAAATGTTTCGAAGAATGTTTAAATCCAGAGAAATAAGCAATTTTAACTAGTGACACGGACCGTCCATAGTGTCATTGTGTCGCCTGCCAATGACATCATAACCCCCGATTTCCGGTTTTGTTTTGTAGAAAACATAGAATTTAATATGTTGTGCGTTTTAATAGACTGGTGACGACCGCACAGAGTGACAGAAGAACACTCACACCTTGCATCGCCACAGGGGTATGAATTGTTTGTGAGCTAAACCAGGTGTCACACTGTATAAAGACCACTGGAGCTCAGTGAGGGGTCTAGACTGCAAAATACAGCCCTTCTGAAATGTGCATACTAATATCATGTGTACATGCAGCAAAGCTTCCAGGGCTCTGCTGCAGAATCGTACTCATGAGCACTCGGACAGATAATGTATGTAATCACATTAGCATAATATTCTATATCCCCCACTGGTTAAGGCTGGAATCTAAACAAATTGGGGAGGGAAATCTTCTTTATGCTGAATTAGAGGCTGCGTTACGCTATTAGGGAGAAAAGACAAATAGGCTGCTGTTCATAATGAAATAAGGGCATAGGGAGGGAAGGGATTTTATTTCCACAAAACAGTCTCTTTCACACACCCATAAGCCACCCCTGCAATCTTTTATAATACAAGACCTCCTACGGCTGACTGTAAGCTCAAGCACGGGGTGAGCCTTGCATGTGCTGTTATTGTGAAGCATCCTGGGACCAGCAGGGGGTCATTACTAGTCCCAATACAGTAGCACTGCCCAGCACTCTGAAAGCCCTATTTGGCCCTATGTGGCTAAATGGAATTGTATGGACTCATCCATTTTTAAAACAGAGGCATAAAATATTCATACCACTTGAAATCATACACTAATCTGGCAGTGAAAAGCTCATCTAGTCATGAACATTTCCTGTGAGTGGGAGACAGACCTGCACAAATGTGTTTACATTATGCATTTGCTATGCATAAATTGAGACGGAGTGGAAAAAGCGAAAGTGTATAGACGTACATGTATATGCAACATGGCCAACGGTATGTGCAGAAATGCACATTTAAACATCCCTTTCCAAAATGATGGGGGTTAACATTGGTGGCCCGGATTACAAACCGGGCCAATACATACACATGCATTTTATTTGAATGATATCTTCAATGCTTTTACAAATGCCATACTTTTTTGGTTGTCTTTTTTTTTTTAATAATATTTACTTTTTTTTTACTAATTTATCTCATTATAGACTTGTTCGCTATTTACAGGTGCATCTCAATAAATTAGAATGTCGTGGAAAAGTTCATTTATTGTTTGTGCGTACATGCGTAAAATAGTTAAATTCACTATATGTAAAGGGTTCCTTCATTTTTGTGGCAATGTAGTGTATGTGTAAGTCAGAACAGGCTACTTTGTTGTCATTATCATCCATTATAGTGTTACACTTTCTTCCTCCAAACCTAATCCCATAAAGCTGAACATACATAGAAGGGCTCCTCCGTAGAGTCTGATGGAGATCCTCGAGGTGGTGATCTCAAATATTATCTCGTAGAGCTGGCTGGGAAAAGCCAAGGCCTATAACAAAGAGAAGAAGGTCACATAATGAATGTAATGTTAAAGAAATTCTAGGGAGATGTGGCAAATCTGCAAAAAAAATAAATCCTTTAAGATGACAGAAAAACAAGAAATGTAAAATGTTTTGAAAGACATTTCTTATGCTCAACAAGGCTGCATTTATTTGATCAAAAATACAATAAAAACTTTAATAATGTAAAAAATTATTACAATTTAAAATAACCATTTTTATTTTAATATATAGTATTTCAAATTTATAAATCGTATAAAAAGCTGAATTTTTAGCAGCCATTACGCCAGTCTTTAGTGTCACATGATCCTTTAGAAATCATTCTATTATGCTGGTTTGGTGCTCAAGTAACATTCCTTATTATCAGTGTTGAAAACCGTGCTGGTTAATATTTTTGTGGAAACGGTTAATTTTTTTTAGGATTCTTTGATGAATAGACAGTAATTATTATTTAAAACAGATTTAACATTATAATTGGCTTTACTGTCACTTTTTATCAAATTAATGCATCCTTGCTGAATAAAAGTATTAATTTATTTTAAAAACGACCACCAAGCTTTTAAACAGTATAGTGTAAATGATTAAACAAAACACAATGAGCATTATTTCATTTTGGAGCATGAGCTGTTACACATTTTGCGTGAACTGCTCACCATTAAGGATGTGGATGTGAACAGCACTGCAGAGACGAGGAGCCAGAGCCTGCAATGAGACAAGGAAAGACACAACACATCAAACCAGCTGGCCTCTAATAAGACACAAATGAGCCACAATCAAAACCCTCAAGGATTGGCAAAAAAAACAAAACTGAACAGAACACTGGAGCAATTAAATTAGTAGGGTGTCTGATGTCACATGCAAAGACAGAGACAAGCCAAGTTGGTGGTCTGATATGAAGAGAATGTCTTACCGGAGACCAATGGGCTCACGCACAGCAAACTTCATCTCATTACCCAACATCTGACTGATCTGCAAAATGAGAGAAATGTCAATATTAGCATGTAACACTATAACATATATGTAAGAAACATTAATGACTTTGATAAACATTACAATCTTTCTATAAACAGACCAAGGTGGCACGAAAAATAGAGGCCCATGGTAGGAAAATGTCAAATTTAGGAAAACAGGCCTGACTCACAAAAGTAGGATTATCAGATTTGCTGATAGCACAAGCCTGCCAACACTGAATGGACCATGCAGAAGGATACGGTTTTATTTTGTGAAATTGGAAACTTTGGTGTAGAATCTGAAGGGACTGATAGGAAAGTTTGAGTTTTGCTTTAATTTAATACGTCTATTTTGACAACAGGCTGGGTGGTTTCACAATGATGGCTTTGTGTTCGTAATCCAGGCTGTGGGCCACAGGGGAGCACAGCTCCTTCACACAGAATCAGGCAGACACAGATAAGAATGTTGAAGGTGGTACAATATAATGCTTTCTTTGGGTAGCCTAACTTTCGTGATTCCATAAGTGACATGGAATATTGCAAGAAAATGCTCTGTTTAAAAGAGCATAGGAGTAAGCAATTTTTTCATAAGGAGTGTAATGCTCACCAAGGCTGCATTTATTTGATAAAAAATACAGTAAATTCAGTAATATTGAGAAATATTTTAACTTAAAATAACTGTTTTCTGTTTTAATATATTTTAAAATGTAATTTATTCTTTTGATGATAAAGCTGAATTTAGCTGATTTAGTGCTCAACATACTTAGTGCTCAAACATTTTTTTTTTTTTTTCAATTTTGAAAACAGTTTTGCGTAATATGATTATGGAAACCATGATTCTTTTGATTTTATTTTCAAAATTCTTCAAAAGTTTGAAAACAACATTTATTTGAAATCGAAATCTTTTATAACATCCTAAATGTCTTTAGTATCAATTATTTGCATCCGTTCTGAATAAAAGTATTAATTTCTTCAAAAAAATATACTGACCTCAAACTTTTGAAAGGTAGTGTACATTTTGTGTGTAAACATAAACAGGTGGTTGAGATAAGAAGGTCAACAAACCTTTCGCTAAGCCCGGCCCTTTAAGATTCACCCAAAAAAAAGTTCACCCAAAAAAGAAAATTCTGTCATTAATTACTCACCCTCATGTCGTTCCAAACCCGTAAGACCTTCATTCATCTTCAGAATGCAAATTAAGATATTTTTGCTGAAATCGGAGAACTTTCTGACCCTCCATAGACAGCAACGAAACTACCACGTTCAAGGCCCAGAAAGGTAGTAAAGACATCATTCAAATAGTCCACGTGACATCAGTTGTTCAACCTTAATTTTATAAAGCTTCGAGAATACTTTTTGAGAGCAAAGAAAACAAAAATAACGATTTTATTCAACAATTTCTTCTCTTCTGTGTCGGTCTTTAACATGCATGGTTCCACTGCTGTCTATCCAGGGTCAGAATGCTCTTAGATTTAATCAAAAATATCTTAATTTGTGTTCCGAAGATGAACAAAGGTCTTATGGGTTTGGAACGACATGAGGCTGAGTAATTAATGGCAGAATTTTTATTTTTGGGTGAACTACCCCTTTAGAAACATTAACTGACCAATCCTACCCTGCCATCTATTGCCATCTGCCATGCATTTTAACAAACTTGCTCTTGTCTAGTGTTCTTTAAACCAAATAATAAAACCTGAAAACATACTGAAAACCTTCTCATTTTATATTTAAATTCACGGTTGTTCTAGATGTTCTTGAATAATCCCAGAGATAATTCACTCAATTCATTCTTTTCTTTGTCTGCATAAAAACTCTTAACAAGAAAGCAAGTCAGACCCAGCAATAGTAACCTTCAGTTGCAGGCTTAGAGACGGGTCAAAAGTGCTTAAGGAAATCAGTAGGAAACTATACAGTAGCAATGTACATTTTACATATTTTTGAAATGCATAAATAGACATCATCTTTACTTCGATGTGCTCTATAAGAAATTATCACAATGATGTTATTTCGCTCCTTTCCATTTCTAGCTCAAAATAATGTATGTGGCTTCCAGGGCTTAAAAAAAAAATCAACAAGCCCTTATGGCCATTAAACATGCAGGCTTTCTCTTTCTTCTCCCACCCTAAAAGAGAGGGCTCTATCCATCTCCCTACTCCACCACGCTCCACTAAAAGCCTCCGCAGCATGGGTAAATTAGTGTTGATGAAAACCCGATCCGTTTCTGATGGGAAGCTGTGGTGCTGAAATCCTGGCTAAAGGCCATTTTATAAGGGAAGCAAGAAAGTGATGGAAGGTTAGCGGAAGATAATTTTGTAAAGTGATTGCTGTGGCCTTCAAAACACGGTCCTGATTGGTGCTAGCATGTGAACTTCATGTAATAGTTGCACTTTCTTTAAACCTAATACATTTTCTTTGTTGTGGTAGGCCCCTTTAAGAAAAAAGGAGTGTTTCCGTGCACCCTATAGTACGAAGTGTGTTTGTATGGGGGCGTGTGTCACAGCAACTGTTTTAGCCTCTCAGGAGCACAGAAATAGTAATGGCTTACATTAAAACTGATGTCATAGACAAGCTGACATCAGCCGTTTCTGTTTTGTAAATATTTAGTTCTACAGGTTTAGCTTATTGTAATATCTAGACTTGGAACATTCATTCAACTGATATTGCCAAAGCAATTTGTTGAGACTTGATGAACAAATGCTGCTGTATTTACCCAGTAAACAGCAGTAGCTAATACGGTGCACCATTGATTATTCTCAGGAGAAAAGTGATTTCAGAGATAAGGTGTTCAGAAAGCATGTCGCACTGAGAAACAAGAGCATGTCATGTGCTATGGAGACCATCACTCAATCGACACCTCGCTCTGGTTGTTTCTGGGGGGGTTAACACATCTCGACAACTGCTGGGAACAGGGAGAACTCTGTTTTCTCCTAAGACCTGTAATGGCGGAAGCTACACAGTACGTTCGTCTGACCGCAGTATTGCAGCAACTGGGCTGATAGCTTGTTTTAGTGACAAGCTAATGTGGAAATTAAACAGAGTGCTTCAAACACATCATGGTGCACATTATCATGTTAATTGGTGGACAGAAAAATCAATATTGTAAAAGCGCAAGTCTTTCAAGTAATGGATAAAATCATTTTCTACCACAGAAAAATTTTGTACCCAAAAAGCATGATCTATTTTAAATGGTGAAACTGTTCAATTATTAAAGGAATAGTTCACCCAAAAATGAACATTTGCTGAAAATGTACTCACCCTGAGGCCATTCAAGATGAGTTTGTTCCCTCATCTGAACAGATTTGGAGAAATTCAGCATTACATCACTTGCTCACCAGTGGATCCTCTGCAGTAAATGGGTGCCATCAGAATGAGAATTCAAACAGCTGATAAAAACATCACAATAATCCACAAGTAATCCTCATGACTCCAGTCCATCAATTAACGTCTTGTGAAGTGAAAAGCTGCATGTTTGTAATAAACAAATTCATCATTAAGATGTTTTTAATTTCAAATGAGTCCTCTGTAATAATTTAATTTCAAATGAGTACTCCATAATATTGCTTCCTCCAGTGAAAAGGTCGTCTCGTCTGAATCAGAAGAAAAATATGCACAGACAAAGCACAGTTTAGAAGCCAAAACAGTTGTAAACAAATATTGTGGTGGATTTTGATGTGACAGGACAATGATTTTTCACTGGAGGAAGTGTTATTATGAATTATGGACTGGTATTTTGGCCAGAAGCAACAGTTTAAAGTTAAAAAATCTTGATGGATTTGCTCCTTATAAACACAGCTTTTCAAGTCACAAGACGTTAAGTGGATTACATGTAGATGTTTTTATCAGCTGTTTGAACTCCCATTGTGGCGGTACCCATTAGGGCTGCACGATAAATCGCATGCGATATTTAACGCGCATCTTGTCAGAAAGCCGGTTCTTTAATCAGCAGTAAATCTCCATCACGTGCGTGCTTTCACATTGAGCAGCATTAACTACACAGAGCCGTTGTTCACAGACGAGCTGCGCAAAA